ATACCTAACAACATCAAATTCTATAAAGTAGAATTACAGGTGCAACACTGTCAGTTATAAACTGTTTACTTGGTTTTATTTAGGCTTCCAAAACTTTGGAATAAAATACTTTGGAATAACTCTATGAGTTATGGAAAGATCAGACTTGCCATATTGTTGTGAACTCCTAATTTAAAAAGACAGATTTGGGGTTAAGCACCATGACTTCTTCTTCAACCCTATTTAATTTATTCAGAAGAAATACCTTCTCTTTGTTTAGTCTTTGTTATACTAGCAATAACTTTTGTTTCTTTGGCCAGTTGTATGTTTATACAGATAGTTTGTTTTAAACCAGGAAATCTTCTTTGCCACCTAATGCCAGGAAAAGAAGCACCCCCAACAACTCAAAGCCTTAAATTGGCACCTTGCAGTCTTGGAACTTGCGCTGTCTGTCAACTCAAGATCACAGAGGAAAAACAATCCCAAAAACATGCATTTCTCATGGGCTTGAAGTTTTGGGCTACACTTGTGACATATTTTCTCTGAGGCCGGTAATATTTTTTAGTGCAAAAAGCCTAGGTTCTTATCCAAGAACATAAAATACGAGAGAAACCAGCAAGCAAAAATGATGACACCACAGGATAGAGCTGCCTGCTCTATGCAGATCTCGGTGAGGGATGATGCCACATGGAGGGTCCAGAAAGGTGGCTCCGTGCCAGGTAAGTTAGGGCATCTTTACTGGACATGACCATGAACCAAGCGTTAAAGTCAATGCAACAATTTGCTTCATTTCAGTGGCTGCTTTGTGATACCCTGAAGTGTCCTTTGGGGAACAGAGAAGATGACCTTTCAGTTAAAGATGTTTCTACTTGCAAATAGATTGATAGCATTTACTTCTTGGGGCGGGGGGAAAGAAAAAAAAAATAAAGAAAAAAAAGTAAATGAACAAGAAAAATGCTTGTTCTTTGAATATTGTGTATGATAAATGTCATAGTATAAGAGTCTTTGAAAGCATTCCTGTGTCTAAAGGATGATGTCAAGCAGAGCTTTCAGGGGGAGTGGTCTGCCATTCAATGATAAGAGAAAAGCAGTAAGGACACAAGATCAGGGGAATTTAGCAAGCCTCTTTCTTCCTTTCCTCCTGAGATGTACAGTTGGTGGAGATGGATAACTGAAAACATTATGCTCTAAAGTCAAGAATTTACTTAGAGGAAAAGAGGTGGGTTTACCTCTGCTGTAGAGGATAAAAGGGAAGCTAGTTGGAGTATCTTAGTGAAGGATTAACTACTACTGTCATGAAAATGAATAAAATGCTTGATATTCTGAGGACAGTAATGCCCAAATCCTCCAAACCCATAATATTTTACATTCTCAGTTTCATGAGTAAGTGGCTGAGAAGGCAGCAGATTTCTTTCTCTCTTTTTAATGGACCACGAATTTGTCTTTTTTTTTCTTCACAGTTCCTTCCTTTCTTTTTCTTCATAGCATCCTATGAAAAACACAGTTGCAATTATTTATTTCGATGTTTATTTAAACTGATATTTTTCCAAATCCAAACTGCCTAATTGAATTGAGCTGCTCTCAGGAATTATCCTTCCCTGAGTAATATGCCCTACCTCACGCTACGTGCCTTCCAGCAGCCGGCACGCTGCACATGCTCCTGTTCCTGCAGCTCCCTGCGGCAGCGTTGCCCGCTCTCCTCTTTCCTCTCATGCTGTTTTCTATAAAATTCGATGTCATTTTCCAAGTAGTAACTCGGTCTTTCTTAGAAGCTGGATTCTGCTCGGTGGATTCAGATGCTGTTTTCTTGTCTTTGCTCTATGACTTTGCGATTTTTTAAAGGTAATTTTGGTTTTAGTGCTTCCAGCAAACAAGTACATCCTCCCACCTCCCCCTCTTTTCTTTTTCTCTTCTCCGTCAGACCGTACAGTATTTGTGACTTCAAATTGCTCTAAGAAAAGCAAATCAGGTCAACTGCCCGAATGTGGGCAAGATAAACAACCAGCTTTTTGTTCACAGTCTTTGACCCAGACAGAGGTTCAAAAGCAATCCCTAACTTACCATTCCTGAATTCCAGAAACAAGTCTCTTGGCTGGTTTGGTATTTATGGCCTTGGAGCTGGATTTCATTATGGAAATCCATGCCTCTCACTTGTGGATGGCTTGATCATCTGCACTGCCCTCTGTCCTTGCAGCGGGGCTTGCAGGCAGCTCTGCTGCTCCTGCGAAGGCCACGTGCCAAGAGCCACCACTGAGCAGTGGTTGGGAGAACTCAGGCCTTCAGTGACTAATAACTTCAAGCGGACTCAAACAAAACGATAATGTTGCCTTCTTCACATAGAAAATGACTTAAATCTTGCAGCCAAATACAAGGATTAAATCCAGTCTGTGTGAACCGAGATACTTCCAGATCACGCAGGTCATTTGCAATAACTTTATATACAGTAACTTTTTAAAAATAACTATACACATATAACAGATTTTTTAATTATTTATTTGATACTTTATAATAACCCCCACTTTGGTAAGAACATATTTTCCCTATTTTTGTTTATAGGCATTAACAAGTTCAACCTTCTTTTTATGTGCTTCTGGATTGTGGGCCTTTTTGGGAGGCAGGATGGAAGAGAACTCCAATATTTAATTATCTGCTCCAGCAATCCTTGACATCAGTTAATCCCCTCATAGTCCTGATGTTAGTATCTCTCTCTAGCAGCTAATAAGCACATTTAAAACCTATTTTTACAATGATCGGTAGTGACATCACTGTCAATATTGTCCGCAAGCTTGGAAAAGACACAGTTATAGGGAGATGCTCAGTCAAAAAAATGTTAACTTTAGAGAAATAGTTTAAAAGGCCATAAATCAAGAGTTGCTTTATACAACTTTTTTTTGTTTTGCCTTTATAATTACAAAAATGACAGACTGTGTTACGAAAGCTCACAATTTCTTGGAGCTTTCTGCTTCTAGAAATCAGAACAAAAAAATACATACTGTGAAACTGCTGAGCTCCTGCATTAATAGCTATTGCCTCAATGAAAAAGTCCCTTGTTATTTGCAGTAATAGCAAGATATGTATGTGTGTGTGTTCCTGTACAGCAGGAACTACATTCCGAGCTGCAGCTGGAATGACGGACAGCGGGCTTCCCAAGATCTGGTGCCTGTGCGTGCTCCCTAGGACACAGGTTGTCCCTATGAGGGCCAGGAAATGAGGAATAGGGCTGGGTCCCTGCTATGAGCTCATTCAGCAACATGTTTAACCACAACTTCCCAGGCTTCAGGGCAGTCACCCCGGCAAAGAATGCCGTGTCTGGCTGCCTCCCTGTGTGCGAGTCTTTTCTGTGGTATAAATGACCTAACTCATTAGTCACCTAACAATTTCTGCAGACACCCTCCTTCGGATGCATCGTATCTGAGGACATTATTCCAAGTATAGCGCAGTGTGAGTACAATTATTAATAGCCTCTAAATTAATAAAAAAATAAGTCACAATCCATGCTTTTCATCTTAGAATAACGTCTTCTTTTTGCTGTTGAGATCTGAAAATGAAAATGTTAACATTTTTTTTTCCCCTAACAGTTGTCCTTTCTCTTCCTGAGGATTTGGGTGAGAATTAGTTGAAGTGGCTGCTGTGAGTTGTTCACATACGCTGGGCAAAAACCAAACTAGTCTCACTGGAGCTGGTAACAGCTCAGGACAGCTACAGCCGGCTCTATAATGATCACTGAGTGCAACTGTTAGATTTAACCCAGTAATAAAAATAACACAGAGAAACACCCAGAGTTGGAAACACTTATGCAAGACTTGCCCTCTTTTATCAAGAAGGTCAGCATTTTTGGTCTTGTTTTGCTCAGACGGAACACGGTGACATTATTTGGTTGTTGGTGTTTCTAGAACGAAGCCCATGTGCAACAGCAGCTCTGCTTCCCGGAGGGGAGGTCTGGGCTGAGGTCTGCTCCTTGCACAGGGCTCCCTGAACGCTCACGATGGAGAAGCAGGACGCGTGTGCTGCGCAGGGCACGGGCTCTGTGTGAGAGCAACCTTGCAGGCACAACATGGCTTGGAAACTTCCCTTTCCAGCACAAAAGACCCGCTCGCTTTGTGCGCGTCTCCTCCTCGGGGTGCGTTTGGGTTTCCCCACGAGCTGCCCTTCCGCACGGAGCCAAACCGAGTCAGAACCGGAGCTCTGCTCTGCTGGCGAGCGCCGCAAGCGGAGCACGAGGCCTCGGGCCCGCGCGGGCCCTGGGGAGGACGGGCAGCACTGGGCTCGGCGGCGCGCGCGGAGCCGCCGCGGGCCCC